ATTCCCGAAAAATAATTTGTTGGGGGGGGGTGGGGGCTTTTTTTTTTAAAGGGTACCCCGTTTCCCCCCCCTTTTGGCCCCGGGGGGCCCCCCCCCCCACCCTTTTTGGGCCCTTTTTTGGGCCCCCCCCCTTTTCCCGGTTTTTTTTTTGGCCCCCAGGGGGGAAATTTTTTTGGGGGGGCAAAAAAACCCGGGGTTTTTTTTTTGCCTTTTTTTTTTTCCCCCTTGTTTTTGTTTTTTTTTTTTTTTTTTTGCCCAAAAAAAAAAATTTTCCCTCCCCCCCCTGCCCCAAAGGGGCCTTCCCCGGGGCCCCCGGGTTTTTTTCCCCCCCCCCCCCCCCCCCCCCCTCCGTCCTCTCGAGAACGCGTGGTCACTGGCGTGCTCCGTCCCGGCTTTATAGGGATGCGAGGTCAACAGTCTAACGACTACGGCATGCACGACTATGAGAACCCCCGCCCCCCCTGCATGCACCCGGTGCCCCCTCCCTAAATAAATATAAATAGGGCCGCATCGGGGGTGACGCGCCGTTGACGGCCGCGGGGAAGGTGTACGCCGGGAGGCTGGACGAGTTCATGAGCAAGCTCTACCCACCCCGCCGAAAACGGCAAGGAGATGCCGCCGCCTCCGCCTGTGGGCCCGATGGTGGTGGTGGTGGCCGTGACGGGTTGGGAGGACGGGGGGCGGGGGGGGGGGAGGGGGGGGGTGTCGAGGGGGACAACGGCGAAGACCTGGTGGTCTGGACGTCGACCATGCTCCGCACGGGGCAGACGGTCGCGCCCATGACCCTTCATAGGGAGGTGAGTGAGCTTCGAGGGGGGAAATGATGGAAGGTTTGGTTGGAGGAAGGACGTTTCCTATTGACGTGTTTATAGTGCCGGCGTGCCGGAGTGGGGGACGATGATGATCGCATCGCTGGAGTCATGCTGGTAGGCAGACTCCCGTCGAAGAAAGTACAGCAGTATTGTAGTCACATCCCGAAACGCATCCATCCGGATTCGACCTTTTTTTGTTTTGCCTGGAAGAGCAAACGAACAAACATTCAACCGTCATCCACTAAGAACTTTGCGGCCCTGGAGGATGGTTTGGGGCAAGCAATGGTTTGGGGCAAGCAACAACAGTGGTTGAAACCCGGACTTGATTTGATGATTTTTCGTTGCTCCCTTCACTTGTCCTCGAGTGCGGCCACAAAAGGTAAACAAGTTGCGGTGAGCGTGATGTAAAACGTGATTTTTCCCTGATGGCCCGATGAATGTGTTTCAGTTTTGTTTTTTCCTTGAGACGTTACACTAAATAGCGAGCAGAGGCCATGAGAACCGTTTTTTTTTTTTCAGACGTCTTTCCCTAGCCGGGCGTAAGCTGATGGAGGGAGTGTCGGCGTCAGGTCGGGGTCAGGGTGTTGTCACCATTGTATCCCCATCCGTTCTCGCGGTGTCCGTGGTGGTTGTCTTCGACGATGCTACTTCTGCTCTGGCTATCTCCGCACCTGGGTTCTACCGCGGTTGACGTTACCGATGCTGCCGCCGCCGTTGCTGCTGCTACCGCTGCCTCTATTGCTGCTGCTGCTGCTGCTGCTGTGCGGCGTGCGACATCAGGTGATGAAGTGGAGCCAGCTGACGGAGATCAACGCGGGGCTCATGGACTCCTTGACGTACGAGCACGTTGCGGCGGAAATGCCGGCCGAGTACGAGGCGCGCCAGAAGGACAAGCTCCGATACCGGTAAACTTAACCACCGCCGTCGACCTTGGTGTGTGCGTTTTTTGAAGCTGCTGTCTGTGCCTGTTGCTGTGGACCTCATTTTCTCCGCCACGCGATTCGCGCTCCCGTTGTTGCTCACGAATACGCGACTAGCGTCAAGTAGTCGTGATCGAGGGAGGGAGAGAGAGAGGAGAGAGGAGAGAGGAGGCACACAGAGAGAGAGAGAGAGAGAGAGAGAGAGAGAGAGAGAGAGACAGACAGACAGACAGACAGACAGACAGAGAGAGAGACAGAGAGAGAGAGAGAGACACAGACAGACAGACAGACAGACAGACAGACAGACAGACAGAGACAGAGAGAGACATACAGAAAGACAGACAGACACACACACACACACACACACACACAGGGAGAGAGAAGATGCGCCAAGCAGCAGTCGAGAAAGGTGTACAGAGCCATGGCAAGGGTGACGCGCCGTCTTGTCGTGAACGATGCCATTGACGTTGTACGCGCCGTTTCCAACGATGCTATGTACTGTACGCATGTGGCTTCACTCGAGGCTGCGCTTCAATAGTCGGAGGGATATTGTTTCCTACAGCCACGTGGATGTTGTTGCTGTTGGCCCACCTACTCCAATGCGTCTTATACTGGTATATTCTTTTTAGTCTGCCGCAACAGTTTTCCCCGAACGGTATAGTGTAACCCAGAACCGACAGCGAAAGAAGGCATTTCTACTTGATCCTTTCGGCGGGCGGTGTCGGTCGTACGTCCTTGCAACACCTCCTCCCCCCAACTTCCGGCCGTCCTCGGACAGAGAGGACGCGTTCCATGCTCCTTGGGTATTGCCCCGGGTGGGGTCTCCTCCGTGCCTTCCCTCGAATTCCGCCTAGAATGTCGTTGTTGTTGTTGTTGTTGTTGTTGTTGTTGTTGTTGTTGTCCCACACAAGTCTGTGCAACCCCGCGGCGTTTGTAGTTCTCCTCAAATGACATCGGTTTGCGCTCCTTTCCCCCGCCCGCAGATACCCGGGCGGCGAGAGCTACCAAGACCTCTTCTTGAGGCTCGAGCCCGTCATCTTCGAGATGCTCCGCGAGCGGTCGCCGCTGCTGGTCGTCGGGCACCAGGCCATCCTTCGAGTTCTGTACGGTAAGAGAAAGGGTCAAGGGAACGAGAGTACACGCGGTGCGCTCACTCCGCCGGGTTGCTGGGCGCGGTTGCAACAGCAGCGGTGCAGCGTGTGCTTCCGCGGTAGCTGCCGCACAGTGCGGCGCTCTGTTCCGTACCACTTTGCGTCGCATCCGTCCTCCTTCGGTCAATGGCGGTACTGCATCCGCCACCAACCCGCAAGCAAGTCTGGACAGGGAGGGGGGGCTGTTTTGTTGTCCTGCAAGAAAAAAAAACGTTGACAACAATCATCCAGAACCATAGCTTCTGAAAGTCCGCTGACGCTTTGAATTCAATGCCAAATGTATCCCAGAATCTTAACATGTGTAAGAAACAAAATATTCCGTGTTATTAGCGGGAAAAAAAAGGTTACCTACTACTGGAAGAGATGGATTGTTTGCGTTGCAAGATCAGGAAAACACAACCCGCGCCCTGCCCTGTCGTGCCGTGACGCCCGATGAAGGTTACCTAACCGGGAAGGCGCCAGGGGAGTGCCCGACGATTCACATGCCGCTGCACACGGTCATCAAGCTCACACCCAAGGTAAGAGAGAGCGAGGCAGCGAGACATGGCGTGGCGTGGCGTGCTTTTCGAGTTTCCGCGTACATAACCTGGCCTCTGCCCTCTCCCCCCGACAAAAACAATGTTGATTTATGGATTAGAGACGCGTTACTGCGGTAAACACCACGGGTTTCGAGGAAGTTCGTGCCGAGGTCCGTGAGGGGCTCACAGCAACTCGACTGAGCGCAGTTTGGTGTGTTTGCGAAGCTGGCCTGTTGGTGAAAATATGCCCGGTACACGTGGCGGGGATAGGCATCGCTAGGAGTTGAGCGGGACTGGTGCCTCGTTGCGGCAAACACGTCAATGATCGATAATGATCCTAGGGAAAGCGCCAATTGGTTGGATCATATCCCCCCGACACATCGATCGCCTGAATCAACCCCAACGTCGTCTAAGCTGAAATACCACGCTGATGATCACGGTCCCTTCCTCGCACGCCTATCCCTCGCACCCCCCAACACAACTGCTTTTTCCACCCGCGCCGCTGTAAGGCGTATTCTTGCGAGGAGGAGTGGCACCGGCCCCTGGAGGAGTGCACGGACCCAGTGCCAGACGTCAAGCACCCAACGAGCGACGCCTGCAGCGCGTAGAGTCCTCGCATCTCCCGGCGCCCGCGGGGGTCGAGAACATGATCTTTGCGAGAAGATGATTGAAGGCACGCCGATAGGTAGAGGGCAAAGCTGGATGTTTTTGACGAGACGAGGCGAATTGCGCCGCACTCCGATTCGCGTGCCCCCCCTTTTTTTGGGAAGGGGGGGGGGGGGCGGACAGGCGTGACGGATGGTCCGTGTTTGGATGCGTTTGTGCTTCTTTGCGAAACAAACGGCCGCGTCTGCTCACCGGTATTTGCCCTCAGACTAAACGAAAATACGTTAGCGGGTATAGATCCCGGCCCCCCAACAGGGGGACCAACGTTTCGTAGAATGGGCGACACGCCCAGAAAGAACACCAAAGTTACGAACTCTACAGGAGTGATTTTTTGTTCTAGTTTTGTGTTTTTTTTCGGATGCATGGTTGCATGGCCTCAACTGGGAGGGAGAGAGAGAGAGCGATGCTAGGCGGCGGCCTGTATGTACACAACAGCAGTAGACATGACGCTGGCATGCAGCGCTAGAATTATGTTACCTGCTTGCCGATTTTCAACTCTTTCGCGCGCTCCCACCCCCTGCACAAGGGACATGTTGTGGAAAAAGAGGTACAGCCTGCAAGAGGCGCGTGGAGCAAACATGTGGTATGTGCTTAGACTCGATGGGGGCTTGAAACCCAACCGCCCCGCGCCCTCGCCCTCGGTTTTCCCCTGATTTCTTGTCAGCAGGGAACGGCCACGCCGTTGTTGTTTGTCGTGTTGTATTCTCATGTGTAGTTTTCTGCTGGCAGTATTTAGTCGAATTGTTCGGAGCGGGGCACAAGGGTGTCACCAACGGTCTTGTTTGACAGATTTTACCGTCCAAGAGGCAGGCGGAAGATTAGCTACGAGCTGTGTGTTTTGCGATACGCCAACTAGTTGCCAAAAAGTTGAGAAGCTAATCGCACAGCAGACAAGTCAGAGGTAGTGGCTGTGGGTAGATCGTTTTTGAATTGTTAGATGTCTGGCTTTCTGCGCTGGACGGGGGGAAGTTTGGCCGAAAGAAAGAGAGAACGTGCGCGTGCGGGCATCGTATAGGCAGCGGCGTGGCCTTCACCATCCCCTACGATAGAGGCGCTGTGTGAACTTAGCCAATGTGTCCTGTCCGGGGGGGGGTTGTGTCTGTCTGAAGGAAGGCGGGGACGACGGTGGGGTAGCGGGTAAATTCTCCTCGGGCCTAGGGGTCGACACGCTCCGGCCCTTTCACAGGCTATCATGCTATTTGGCTTTTGAAAACGTACCAACCGCGGTGTCCACAGCAGCAGTAGAAAGCTACTTTGCAAGAAAAGCAAGCAGACACGTAAATATCGTTTTTTGAGTGAAGGGATATATTTCTAGAAGTCCAGTACGGTATGTAGCAACGTACCGCGCGTTGTGTCGATGTTTGTTGTTCTGTTGTGATTCTTTAAGGATAGTCTGGTCTATTCTGCTAACAAGACGACACTGCACGTTGTTACTTGCCCTCAGACCCACCACCTGGTTGGCAGTTGTTCAATATTTTCGGGGCGGTGCTCACAGTTTTTGTCCTCCCAGCGACTGGCTGCTGTGAGCATGTATGTTTTTTTGCGTCAATTAAGTAAGGTGGTGGTGATGGAAAAGGGAGTGAGTGGGAGGCATAAGCAATCGGTCGAGTTGGTGAACCTTAACCTTGGGATGATTTCTGATTGTTCGCTACATGTAATACGGGATGCCTCGAGCGAATAAACCCATCCACATCCGTCCCGAAACTAAATTACTATTGGAGCATACCGCCATAGATTGCATTAGATACCTCACGATCTGGACCGATTTTCAAAGCTCGCGATCGCCGTACGGACCGGCATTCATATATGTACAGCAGTGTTTGGGGGTCCCCGAATACGGCGGTCTGACTTACACGAGGCGGGTGAGATTGGCCGGCATAGACGGAATCTACACATCAATGCTACACATTGATAAGGCGGCTGCCCCATATAAGGCGGCCATTATCAGCTGCCCCAACCCCACCTTATTCGGGGACGGACCCCCACTGCACCTACACCTACCTACCCTTGCCCCAATGGAAGCAAATCAACGAAAGCAATGCTAGCATTTTTGCCTCTCCTATTTTGAAGAACTCAACAGGCGGTGCAACACTGAACCCGCGCCCCCTGGAGTCAAATCAAGTGGTCAGAGAGAGTCTCGCATGATCGCCTCAGGAGATACATTTAGAGAAGGGGCATGATAACTGCAGCAGGTTCGTAGTCTCTGCTGTACGCATGTATTACGCTCGCAAGCTCGCGGTGTGCGAGTTGGCTACTGCTGACCACAGCAGATCTTCGGATCTGCGGTCTATCCCGAACCGGCACCAGAACCTGTTTGTTGCACCTCACGTGTGGGAGTACGGAGTGAGGGCAGACGCACAGCTACAGAGAAGAAGAGTGGGACCGTTGTTGTTATTGTGGGTGGGTGGGTGTCCGTCATAGACTCACATGGAAGGGGAGCAATCGGTAGCGGAAGATGGTGCCGGTGGGGGTCAGGATATTGTACGCCAGCTGAGAGCACGGGTGGCGGAGCTGGAGGAAGAGAACGATTTGCTGGCAGTTGCCGCGACGCACGAACCACAGCTCCTGGCCGATGTCAAGAGGCAAGTCACCGGCAAGCAGCAGTAGAGTCGTAGTCGAGCAGCAGCAGCAATAGCAGCAGCAGCAGTTTTACCGTAACGGATCTGCTTTGAAAAAATTCTGTTCTTGCTTTGCGTGCTACCGGGTATCCGGAAGTAGAGTAGTAGACCAATACGGGGTCTGCTGCTACATGATGTGTGTAGGCGACCGCGCTGGATCACTAAAGAAGAGAGCACGACGCTACAAACTAAAGACATCTCTCAAGACCCAATATCGGATGCTCTCAACCTTACGGCTGGTTTGGGGCTGGTAGAAAAACCTCACGTTGTGTAGTTTATTCAGGGCAGGTAACCCAAAACGGCAGCAGCAGCAGCACCGGTAGGTGACCCCGGCAAACAATCCCCGCTGAACTTGC